TTACATAAAGTATTGTGTATTCACTTAATAAGATGCTATGAATCCTCGTAGAGGACTCCTCTTTAATTAAAAAAAAAAAAAAAAAAAACCAAAAAAAACTTCCTTTGTAAGTTATATCTTTAAAAAAAACCCAAAACCAAACCTCAACCAAACAAGGAAAACTGATAACGCATGTATGTGATAAAACTGGAAGAAAAGAAAGCAAGGGTATAATGACCCAAATTCAAGGAAGGGTTCACCCCTAGAGAGAGAAGGAGCAGGGGACAGTCTGGGGACAGAGTGTGCAGGCACATGTAAATTACTAGCAACGTTTGGCTTTTGTGCTTCTAAGTGGGCTCCTGGGTACTTCATTTTCATTATAGTATTAGATAATAAAATCAATATGCTATTTATAAGACATGAAACCTCAACAGAAGGCCTAATTGAAAACCTAAAGATAAAACAGAAAAACCTAAACAGAAAGTCTTCCCTAAAACCTAAGGCCATAAATTCAGAGTGGAAGAGCTTGTTAAGGTGAGTGGTTAGGGTTCAGAGGGCATCGTACACAGGAGGAGTGAGAAGTTCTTCATGAAACTTATTTCCGCTTTTGGACGTGAATATGTATGTGGGTACTGATCCACGATATCAAATGTATTTCTTATTTTGAGTTATGGTTAAAAAATGGTTTGACAGGGGCACCTGGGTGGCTCAGTGGGTTAAGCCTCTGCCTTCGGCTCAGGTCATGATCTCAGGGTCCTGGGATCGAGCCCCACGTCGGGCTCTCTGCTCAGCAGGGAGCCTGCTTCCTCCTCTCTCTCTGTCTGCCTCTCTGCCTACTTGTGATCTCTGTCTGTGAAATAAATAAATAAAATCTTAAAAAAAAATGGTTTGGGGCGCCTGGGTGGCTCAGTGGGTTAAAGCCTCTGCCTTCAGCTCAGGTCATGGTCTCAGGGTCCTGGGATCAAGCCCCGTGTCAGGCTCTCTGCTTGGCGGGGAGCCTGCTTCCTCCTCTCTCTCTCTCTGCCTACTTGTGATCTCTCTCTCTCTGTCAAATAAATAAATAGAATCTTTAAAAAAAAATGGTTTGACAGCCAGTTCCCTAAACAACCTCTTGTCAAAGCATAGCAACAGATAATGTACCTAAAAGTTCCTACCAGCAGTATTAGCACAAAAACCAAAGTACCCATGCGTGTATACCTGTAGGAGAATGGAGAAAGAACCATGGCAGTGAAAACTAACTAACTAACTAACTAACTAACTAACTAACTAATGTTACATGCTTCAAAAATCTCACAAGCAATGTTGGGGAGGGAAAAGCAAGTCATAGAATGTGTAACTCTACTGTTATAAAGTTTAAAGTTAGGCAGAACTAACCAATTGCTTAGGGTTTCCTATGCACATGGCAATAAAGAACAGCCAAGGAATGCTTAATACAAAAGCCCAGGATGGTGGCTACTTTGGAGATCGGATGGGGTCAGAGACAGAGGATGCTGTGATCAGGAAGGGTCCCATGTGGAGCTCCGAAGCTACGGGTGGGTACGCAACGATTACTTTTATTACTGCTCCCCATTTCTCACTCCATACGCCCAAACTACTTGGCTCCACACATTTCCCCCACCTGAAGGACCCTTCTCCTCCTCCTTCCTTCAAGACGGGACCTCCACTCTTCCACCCGGGCTGACAGAACAGCCCCTTCCAGCCCCTGTCAGAATTCTGCAATTATAACAAAGTGAGGTCACAAAGCCCCTTGGAAGGAGAGACTACATCCTCAGAAGCAAGGATTCTGGGAGCTGCTTGGGCTGGAGCTGGGCTTTGGTGCTCACCGGAGGCTTGGAGGAGACGACAGCTCTCTTCATCATGGTAAGACTCGTCCACGTGGTGCACTGGGTCACACGGGGTGAGGGGTCTTAGACTCTGCCCAGATCTGTTGGACCCAGCCAGGCTCAAGCTTGTCTGTTGTGTGTGCAGCTTTGGGGAATGGGAGCAGGAAAAGGTGGGCTATGGGACCAGAGCAGACATAGAGGGGAGATGACGTTTCTTGCTGTCTGTTTCGTATCCATTTCCCACTCCCCATCTGCCCTGGAAAGCAGCTGGCACTGGGCTGGTGTGAACAGTGCCTGTTCTCTGGTTAAAGAGTGTGTGGCTTCGTGTTCCTCTGGGTGTAGAGCAAAGAGAGTGGGCTTCAAATGCAGTCTAGCTCAGCTGCTGACTGGCAGGGTCACTCACAGCCTGCTGGGTCCCTACTTTCTCACTCGGCAGATGTAGTGAGACTCAGCTCGCTCAGGGCAAGATAATGGAGACAGTGACATCCACCCAGCCTTCTTCATAGGTGATCATGAGCCCCAGTGAGATGGTGGAGATGAAGAACCTTGAACGGTATAAGGCACCATGTATGGTCCCGAGCCCAGGCTGGTTATGCACCAGCGTGCGGGTACAAGGCACAGGAAGGGGAAAGGCCCACTGGTCTTGTCCCTTGCAAACAGTACTCTACATAGTGGCCCTAGTTTTGGGGAAAGAGCTGGAATCGGGATCCCTGTCACTACTAATAGCATTCATCGAGTTAAGGAAGTTTCTCCCCATTCCTAGATTTTTAAAATTATTTTTAAAATTAGGAATCCCTGCTGGGTTTTTAAAAATGGTTTTTCTATTAGTTGAGGTGATCACATGTGGTGAAGGACCATAACCGAGTTCCTGAAGTTTAATTACCTCAATGCTCAGAATAAGCCCTATGTGATCCCAGTCCCCAGAGTCAACAGAATGTCACCACACGTGGGGATCGTTTGTGCCCCCTGCCCCTGTTACCTTAGGCATCTCTAGATGTGATAGAGCGCCCGCCAGGGCACCTGCCAAGTGCATTTCATTCTCTACACAGCCCTTGGAGATAGAAAAGATTACCGTCCTCACTTTACAGATGCAGAAACAGAGGCCTGGAGAAGTTAGAGGATCTGTCCATGATGGATGGTGGAGGGGTTGGTACTGGGACTGTCTTGCCGGCTTCAGCTGATGGCCTTGTCAGCTCTCCTCATTTCCCTGAGCCTCCCTGTGCTGCTTCTACCCCACCCCGCAGTGCGAGGAGGTACAGGCGACCGTGCAGAAACCCACGCAGAGCCTGAGGCACAGCAAGGAGGAGCTGAACAGGCTCAACCAGGCCATCCAGCGGCTGACTGCGGAGGTGGACAGTGCTAAGAGTCAGGTGAGGGGTGGCGGTGTGGGGGCAGCAGCGGCATGAGGAATGGTGGGAGGGCGTCCATTATCTGTGACAACTAGTTGGTCATCCCCTACCCTCTGGAATAGGTGGATAGAGTTTCTCCTTGTGAGTGTCTGAGCAAATGGAAGTGTGGCTGCATTTGCCTAGGACTCTCTGTCTTTCATGTGAGCAAGTAATTAACATATAGGTAAATATGTATCCTATGTATGCTTGTTTGCATATCACTTTTTATGTGTTGTACATTTTTGTGTCTGTGTGTTATGTTTGTCCTACGTAACATTAAACTTGAGCCCGTCTTCAGAAATAGCAAGATTTTTCCTAGAAATCCAGCTTTCTGGGTCCTCTTCAAAAATGTGCAGATTTAGCGACGTTTGGCTAGAGAAGAGAGGCCTCTGTCTTCTCTGTTGCCTTCACTTGTGTGCCCCAGACCCCACCGCCCCAAGTTGATTCCTTTAACACAGAGCCAGAGGACTCTCTGCCATTGACCATCATCTTGGCCGGCACTGTTATTATCCTTGTGGAAGACAGAAGGCACATGACCCGTGTCTCTAAATTCGAGAAACAAGAGACTGAAATGTACAAGAGGTCCTGGTGATTGCAGGAGAATGAGACTGTGCATACTTCTTCATGGCACGGGATACTCTCGCTATACAGCTAACATTTGGTCTTTACCTTTTGATGCCTCTAACCGGGCTTCCGTTAGGCACACGGGTTGGTGGCTCAGGCTCGAGACCTGAGAAAGGAGAGGTTTCCACACAAATGCTTTCTTTCTCCCCACTTCTCTGTCTCTCATCCTTCTCTCTTTCCCCCCAGCCGCCCCGTTGAGGCCCCAGCTCTTGCTCTACCTGCAGAGGGAAGGGCTTTCTGCAGGTACAAGTATCTCAAGCTTTGAGGGGTTTGCCTTTCTTCAGGAACGGATGGCTGTTCAGGTTCCAGAGGGTGACCCTGTCACGGTTCAGTCTCCCACCCGCCTCAGCTGTTCTGATTCCCACCCCTCCCACCCCAGTTTCCTGAGCAGCAAACACACCTCAAAAGGCAAGTGTTTATCATCATCATCATCACCATCACCATCATCATCATCATCGCTGTATTTCCCCAGACACTACAGATGCTAGTTTCCTATGAGGAAAGGATATTCTTTTGGTTAATTTTCCTGATGGAATGCTAATGAGGTCTTCGGGAGCATTGGATGCTTCCTGGATCCGAGCTCCTATTAGAAAAGTCACACGCTAGGTGTGAAAGGTTCTCTCTCAGCCTGCCCAGATGTCTGGCCCCAAGTCTCCATCCTGGGAGCCAAGCAGACACACACACACACACACACACACACACACACAGACACACATCCATTTTTCAGATCAGGATCACCCATTCCTTACAATGATCTCTAATCCCTCGCTCACTCTCCAACCTCTGAGAAAGGTCTGGATCGTCGATGTGGGGGAGGGTGGGGACCAAGGATGTCCTGTCCGTGGTCTTCCTTTGCCCCCAGCCCTGTGAACTAGACAGAGGCACGGAGCCACGGGCTCTGCCGGAGGAGGGTACCTCAGACAGCGCCCAGGGCAAGCTGGCCTGGCTGGAGGCCGCCCTGCAGAGAGCCAAGCACGACATGGTCCGCCAGCTGCGTGAGTACCAGGATCTCATGATCGTCAAGCTGGGCCTGGACTTTGAGATTGCCACCTACCGCAAGCTGCTGGAGGGCGAGGAGAGCAGGTGAGGTCTGGCCAGTGCCTTGGATGTGGCCATGGTGAGGAGGGCAGGGACACAGGGAGGTCACTATCTGGGTCCTCGCCAGCTGGAGAGGGGTGGGAAGAGACGACCTGGGTATCCAGGGACTTGTTCTCCTGGAGCCAATTTCTCCCCACCAACTTGAGGCCCTTAAGACAAAATGTTCCAGCTGATGAGCACCTTTGGCACCTGGGATGGGACAACTTGTGAAGTCATTCACCTGCAGGAGCAGAGAGCCAGGGTCAGTCTGTCCATCTAGACAGCTGCAAGGACCAAGGCCCAGCTGGGGGGAATAAGGGTCTCCTCGCCTTCTCCTCGGTTCTGCCCTTCTTCCCCCAGTCCTAGGGAAGGCATGGTTTATGGGGAAGCATGGTTTATGGCTTTTAATCTTAGACAGCAGAGATCCAAGGGCTGCCGGTTGCAGCTGGGTTCTCCAGGCCGAGGGGAGGGAAAGGGAACCCACCATGCATCAGGCAGCCGGCACTTATTCTCTCCTTTCAACCCCACAAAACCCGTGGGAGGGAAGTGCTGTCATTCCCATTTTACAGATGGGGAAACTGAGTCTCGGGGTAAAAGACCGTCTCAAGGACTCACAGGTAGAAAGTGACTGGATGAGGTTCGACCAGTACTCTTCAGGTGGTTGAGCTATTTTCTCTGTAGTGTCCTTCAAAATGTCCCCCCTCATGGTTTCTTCTTTTAGGCTACGTTTAGGCTGAAGAAAGATCTCTAGCCTTCTCCCTCCTCCAGGAAGTCATCAGTAAAACCAAGCTATCTGAATTTAAGGAGGAAGGATTAAGTTTAAGGTCCTGCAGAATGTGAAGCAAAAGGGTTGTGGTGATCTGAGAGAACCGGGAGCATGCAGGATGGAGGGATCTCTTCCTGTTGGGGAAAGCCAGGAGAGTTTTGTTTTAAAGGCTGGGGATTATTATACCCAGGAGGTATATTCACTCACTCGCTTCCTCCTTCTCCCCTGCAGGCTTGGTCTGGGATTTGGGGCAGGGAGCTTCTGTAAGTAAATCTTAGACCCGGATTGGGTTAGGGAAGTCAAATCTTAGCCCCTCTTCTTTGGGTGTATTCTTTTGGGAAGGGAGAGGGGTCTGCTTCCACTGTGTCTCTCTTTTTGGGGGTCTATTCCTTCTCCAGGGAGTAATTCTTTTTGTGTGCTGGGGAGAAGGTCTGGTGGTCTGTCCTTTGGGGGGTGGTTCTGTTGGTTTGTCCTGGGCAGTGGGAGGAGCTTCTGTGGGTCTGTCCTTGTGGAGGAGACTGTTTCATTCTGGCGTGGGAGAATCTGTGTGTCTGACTCCAGGGAGGGGGCATTCTGGAGTCTATTTCTTGGGGGAAGGGGTCTGTGTATTATTACTTTGGGGAGTTTGCACCTGTCTCCTGTGGGGGTGGAGGAGGGTCTTTGCATCTGCCCTCTTGGAGAGGAGTCTGTCTGTCTGCCTTCGGGGGCGGAGCGGGAGAAGAGGGCTTCCTGTCCCCGACAGCCACTGTCTTCTCAGCCCTGGGCAACGCTTCCACTTGCGGACTGGGCTCAGCCTCGGGCCCCGCCCGCCCGCTGCCTCCCGGAGCGGATTCCGGCGCCCTGCAGACGGGCGCCCCTGGCGGCGGCTGCGCGCTCTGCGGCTCCCTCGCCTGCCTCGGCGGTTTAGGCTGCCGCGGCACCCGCGGATGCTGAACATTTCTGCCCAGCTGTGGAGAAGTCAAAGACCCCTAACTCCTGCCCCCAAGGACTTGACCCTGTGCCTCAGACGCCCCCTCCTACGGAACTGGACCTCACTTCATCTTTCCATCATGGTCACTCCCCACCCCCCAACCTCACCCCAGAGCAAAAGTCTTGGAATCTAGCTTACGGAATGGTCACTGCCCTGTCCCCTGGGTGAAGACAACCGAGACCCTGTGTCACTGGGGAGGCTTGGTGGCTTACCTGGACCCAGTACCCTGCTCCTCTGACCTACCCCCCGACTCCTCTTTCCCTGGGACTCCTCCTTTACAATAAAAAGTTCTTCAGTGGACTGAGCCCCCCTGGGGGCTGTTTGTGCCTGGATTCCTCAAGCTGTGTACAGAGCATGGTGGAAGCTGGTCGGGTTTAACAGGGACGGGAGAAAAGGAGGGGACACTACCAGGAAGTTACCTCCCCTTGTGGTGTGTGGGTCCACATGACTTCAGTTGGCGGTGATATGAACCAGGCTCCTAAGGGGCTGGGCGGCTGCAGGCCCCTGGGGAAAGTGAAAGAAGGGGTTAATTCCTCCTCAGATCTGCTTGTTTCCCAGCCTCATGGCCCCTCTGCTGAGTGGCTGAACTCTGCCTTCATTCATCCACTCACTGGCTCTGTGGACGCTTACAGAATGGCCTCTGAGGGTCGAGTGTAGTGCTGAGTGAGCAAGGAACCTGGTTCTGGAAGGGAAGCAGGCCAGAAACCAGGAAACCAGGCCTGAAGAAAATGGAGTGAGATGGGGATGAGGAAGAATTGTCCTTCCACTGCCCTGGCAGGGGCTCTTGAAGACTCACCCTGGGGAAGATGGCCCTCGCACACTGGGGCTGGGGGATATGAACAGCACTGGGTGGCCGGGGGCCCCGGGCTCTAGTTTAACAAGTGACCTGATGGCAGGTTGGGAATGGCATACCCTGGTGGAGGAGTGTCTTGGGCGAGTCTTTGGAATCAGATGGAGGGTTCCAGCTCTGCCTCTACTTCTAGATCTAAGGTATAGTTTGCTCTGAGTTTTCACAAGGCAACTAGACTTTGGGGGGCAGAAGATAGGCCAGTTGGGGGAGGTGGGTGGCCAGAGAAGGGCTGGGTTTCTGGGCTCTTTCTTTGTCCCTTAGGCCCAAGAGAAGCTTCCATTTGGTGAGCTCACATTCTTTTCTGTTGCACAAAGGGTTACATCATTCACACATCTGGGAACAATGGTTTCTACTTTCTGTGTCCCTGGGTGGGGTGAAGGTGCGTCATTGGCCGGAGGCCCTGGCTTTACCTTTTAAGGAAAGCTAGTGCCAGGGTGTCTGCTGTGTTCTCCTGGGTCCTTGCCCAGAAAACAGGTATCCAAAGGGCCCCCTTCCCGGGTAAACAGAGCAGTCTCATGCAAGAGGAATGAGACGGAAACTTGGCTGCAAGAGTGCCTCCCTCCTGAGGAGTAGGGAACGGGACCCACTGGAGTCCCATTTGGTCACCACAGACTGACACCCACGGTGTCAACGTTCTTGCCACACTCCTGAAGGGAAGTCACTTCCTGAAAGCAGAGCCACCCCTCTGCGAGATTTCTCAGTTGGGCTCCATGTTCCCTGCATTTTGCCAAGAGGTAATGACATTCTGTGATTTTCAAGGTCAGGTTTTTCCAGCTCCTGCTGTGCTGATCATGTCAAGGGAAGTGCTGAAGGAAACCTCACCTAGGAGCTGTTGGCAGGACTTACAGTGAGCATTCTACAGCCTACATCCCTGAGGACTGGCTTGCTCCCATTTTCCTACTTCAAATCCCAAGCCTAATGTCCCTTCAGATCCCAGAGGCTGCCGGGTCAGGCTTGCGTGTCTTGCCTGGGCCACCAGCCATGCCTGCGGTTTGGGGACCAATTCTCTGAGTGGTTCCCTTGGCTACAGGCCACATTCCATGTTGGGGTGGGAGAGAACTGTCTGGTACATTTATAGAGAGTCATTTGCCAGCCTATTTAGAAGCATTGTTAGTAGAAGTGACTTCTGAAGGGAGGCGGGTTGACACCGGAGTCATCATGTCTCAGCAGAAGGAGGGGACCACTAGGGGTCAGCCTTCTGTTGGATCCTCATGTCTGCCTCACACTTAATAGTCCGGAAGCACGACAGAGGTAACTTAGCTGAGTTGGCATCTCTACATGAGCCTCTCAAGGCCGGTGACTGTCCCAGTCACACAAATCCAGGGCCTGCCACGCAGTTGATATGAACAGGTTGAGAGAGGCTCTATGTTTTGTCCCCTCTGTCCTTGGATGCATTGGGTCCTTCTTCCACCATTAACACGTCTCACCCTACAGAAACCCCTTGGGTTTCTCTCGAAGAGTCTAAATGCAATCCTTCCTGATATCATCCCAACCGTAGTGTCTCAGCTAGGCCAGCCGGGAGGATGGAAGGGTCTGGATTCTGTTTCCAATCTTGCTGTTATCCTGGCCAAACACTGCCTGTTTCCTGTTTCTGAACCCCAGTCCTGCCCTCCCCAGATCTAACTGGTGTAGCTTCATTTATCCCTTTTAGTTGTCCTCCCTACCTGACCTCTCTGCACCACGGTTTACCCATAAAATACGAATGTGCCTGTCACAGGGTTGTGTGAAAAATATATAGTGCTGAAAACATAGTAAGAATAACAAACATAATTACTATCTCATGGACTGGGCTTTGGACGCCTTTAAAGAAGGCTCTACAAGTCTAGAGCTGGCTGGTCTCTTGCTGCCCCAGCCGGAGCTCGGGTGTTTACAGAGCAGGAGGGGAGCTAGGGGGACATACTGGTTAGAGCTGGGGCTCCCTGGCCAGAGGGCACCCCCCCAGTATGACAGCTGACAGCACCTCCCTCACCACTCCCATCTTAGTCCAGTTTTCCATCTGGGACCCCCCCCCCCCACTCACCACCAACACGAGTCTCCCTGTGTGCTCACACTGAGGTCCTATCCACAGGTACCCACAAAACAAAACTCCTCTCTTCGGCACATACATACAGGCAGACACACATGCACACACACAATCGCACACCTGGAAAGGCTCACAGTCTCACACACATGCTTCCACACAGGTGCCTAGAGCTGTGCATTGATCTGGATGCAATCACATTTTTGTACTCACAGGCAGCTGTTCACAGAGAGTGAGCTATGCAGAATGAAGGTACGAACAGCGTGAACCCAGCACACCTGCGAGGTCTCCCCACTTTCCTGAAGCTTCCATTCCCGTCCCAGCCCTTCTGAAGACTAACAGAGCTTTAAACTGGTAAGGGAACTTAGCAGCCATCTTATCTAAATATTTTATTTAACCAGTGAACACATGGAGGCCCAGAGAGAGGAGGTGACTTTTTAAAGGTCACACAGCAAGGTGCTCCATTTTTTTTTTCACCATTCCCACCCCCCACCACCATTTAGCATCATGAGTATTAGGTGCTTGATTCCTTCACTCTTGCTTCTCTCCCTGAGCCTGTGAAGGAGTGGGAACTAGAGGGAGTGAGGATTGTGCTCCTGGAGTAGTATAGGGCCGAAAGTCAGAGCTGGAGGGAGACTGAATGAGAGTATGTGTGGCCAGTCATTAGGGCCCCGCTGGGCTGATAAGACCTGTGGGATATGAAGGGAAGAGTCAGCTGGCAGAGATGAGAAGTTCATTGGGACTGGGGTCACGGGTGGTTTCTAAACTGAGGGGTAGAGAGATGGAGCTGGGGTTTGGAACTCAGGTCGAGACTCCCGGAAGCCTGCTTCTGAGCCGTGTGGTATCAAAGCACAGAGGGCTGGTTAGAGCAACTGCACACTCTGGAACTCTCCCAGGGTTCTGCCCTGCTCAGAATTCCATCAGGTGTGGGGAGGGGCAGTATTGGTGGGTGGGAGGCCCTGGATCCATCCTCTCCCTTCAAAGAGTGTCTTCTTTTCAGACCACTCACTTCTGGTCTCTCAACATTCTTCCTTATTTCTACTGCTCTGAGGGATGGGGATGGGGACTTAGATTTCTGCTACCGTTTTTTGGGCCTGGGCCTGGAAGGTTAGAAATTGACCCTGCTGTACAAATGCGTATTCAGGGACTTGCCTTTGCCCATAGCAAAGCCGAGAGGCCGTCTTCCTGCTTTCTTTGCTCCTTGTCAGAGCTTCATCAGTGTCAAGGGGGAAACAGTTCTCTGCATAAAGGAGCTCAATGGCCCCAGAAGACATGGAGATTTCTCTATTTGCTGTCTCTGATCACAGATATAAATTTAATATGATGTCAATGTGTACATGTATTCAGTTTATGGATGTTGATGGGAGGCTGGCCACTGCTCCCTGGTGGGATCTCCACTTTATATTCTGCAAATATATACTGCTAAAGGCAAGCCCATATCATGATTATTTTGTGGCAGGAATTGCCTAGACTTGTTACATGTATGAAATTCCTAGTTCTCCCATCTGCCCTATGAGGTGCTCTTTTTTCATTCTCACTTTAGAGATGTGGAAATTGAGGCACAGAGCAGATAAGTAAATTGCCCAAGGTCACTGAGCCAGGCAGGAAGAGAGCCCAGTTTTGGACCCAAGTCATCTGGCTCCAGGGTCTATGTGCTCCCCTCTGTGCCAGCTCATCTTCTCGCTACGTGCTGTTTCCTATCTCAGAGGTAATTTGTCAGCTATGACAGGTCTCCAAAGCCCAAAAGGACTCCATTAAAAGAAAAAAAGAAGTAGCCACATCAAAGGCTTTTTGAAAGTTTAAACTATGTTCATGTATTTACCCTTCAAGGAATTCTCATAAATGGCTCAGACATGAGTCTTCCCCAGCAAAGCAATGAGTGGTGTTTCCTTAAGCTTTGAGTGGTTGGTGACTCGAATTTTCATTATCCATCAGTTTACAGATATGCACAGGAAGTTTTCTGGGAGGCAAGTGTGGGTTGGTGAAATGACCATGAGTGGTGCACACAGGGTTCAAGCCCCATCCAGATGCTGAAACCTGTAGGGTGCTGCCCCAATTCCTGAGCATCTCTGGCTGCTTCTTCTGCAAGTGCA